TGGATTAATCTGGATTAAACTTGCAGGTAAAAAGAAAAAAGAAAAAGATTTGTAATAAAGAAATCCTAGCTTACAATTTTTGAACAGCTTAACCAATATAGACTATGCCACAAGAATTAAAAGTTTGATTTCAAACAGATTTCTCCCTAGATGTTTCTAAGTTAGTGTGAGGTCAGCCGATTAGGGGTGAGGTGTTCGACAGCCGAGCGGTTCTTTCTGTCGTGTGGGCGCAGACTGACTTCCTGAGACAGGTTTACCATATAACCGTTTATTAAACATAGAAATTTTCCTTACAGATTACTTGTTAGATGAGGTAGCACACCAAAGCGCACGGATAAAGTTCGAAATAAAGTTCGTAAAAGTCGGTTTTCGTCGCTAGAGGATGGACGCTGTCGGTGAAACACTCGGTGGGCCCCGGGGCGTTGATTACGGCTTTCGGCGGCTTCTCGCGGACGATCCGACGAATCTGTCGATTGCTAGGAGCACCCAGAGAACGATGCTTCCNTTTAGCCACTATTAATTTTAAAAATTTTTTATTTATTTATAAAATTAAATGAAAGCAAAATTTACCTCACTATATGGTTGAAGAAGTTACTTCTATTGTCTGTTCCTTCTTCAATTTTCAAGATATCCTCATCCCATCTTCAGATCAGTTCAAATTGATTGAATCCATTTAATTGAGAGCAGAGAACAGAAGTGACTTCTTTAATCATGTAGCAAAATAAATTTTGCTTTATCAAGAATTATGGAGTCAATAATCAAGAAATTAAATGAAAGAAAAATTTTAAATTTTTATTCAATTTTATATATTTCTGATATTCTTCAAACTACAGTGGAACCTCACTTAACGAGCATAATTCATTCCAGAATCTTACTCGTAATGTGAAACAGTTTTTCCCATATAAATTAATGTAAAATAAAATAATGCATTCCATGCTGAAAAAATACTCAAATATTTTATGTATAACAGTTATTCAAAGAAAATTATACGATATACATTGTCAAGGAGCACAAATCATCTTCATATTTTCTTCTAGCATGGAATAAACCAACCTGGAATGCAAATTCAATTTGCAAAAAATCACAGATAATATGTCTGATAAACGCGCCAAATGATATGCCAAATTCTTGGGCTATGTAAAGGCTATAATTAAATATTAGAAATTGATTAATTTGACTAGAGATAGGCAGTTATGCTTCCATCTCATATTAAATTTAATAATTATAAATAATTATTTTTTAATTTAGACATTTTTAAAATTTAATTTGGAATTGGTCATTAAATTTAATACAAGATGGCAGCATAACTGCCTATCTCTAGTCAAATTAATTAATTTATAATATTTAATTATAGCCTTTACATAGCCCAAGAATTTGGCATATTGCTTGGCATGTTTATTATATAACAGCCAATGGTTGTCGATGTTTATACAGTAATACTCTGAACTTATGAGATAGGTGGGACTGAGCAAAAACCGTGTAAGTCAAATTCATGTAAGTCGGGGTATAATTTCGCATATAAATATATACAAATTATTTTTAATTGGGACCAGGGACTAAAGAAAATAATAATTTAGAAAAAAATGAAATAAAATAAAAAACAAAAAATGAAAATAAAAATTCCAAAAGTCTTTAACAGAAAGCTTGTTGTCTTGTCTCATAGCCTCATGCAGATGTGCAAACGATTGCCTCGTGCAATGAGCTTTGAAAGTTTTGATGACTCCCTGATCCATTGGTTGAAACAAGCTGGTTGTATTTGGTGGCAAAAATACAACTTTCACATGTGGGTTAAAATTAGTTAAAGTTGCAGGGACGTTGCCTGGCACGTTGTCGATTATTAGCATCACTTTAAATGGAATTTGTTTAGATTGGCAATAACGTTCGACTTCAGGTACGAAGTGATGACCAAACTAGTCCTCAAAAGGGAAAGCTGCCACCCAAGCTTTACGATTCGACTTCCAAATCACAGGCAAGACAGTTTTAAATTTTTTTTGAATCCTCTTGGATTTTCCGAGCGATAAACTAAGAGAGGTTTTAACTTACAATCACCAGCTGCATTTGTGCCAACCATCACCGTCAATCGATCTTTGGCGGCCTTAAAACCTGAAAAGATTTTCTCTAAAAGGCCTGTTCTGGAAGAAGATGCCATTCTTTCAGGCATCATCTTCCAGAACAGGCCAATCTCATCTATGTTGAATATGGTTTGGCTGGTATAGCCACCTTCATCTATTATAGCTATGAATTTCTCTGGATAGTAAGATGCAGCCTCTTTATCAGCACTTGCCTCCTCTCCATTTTCTGCAATGCTATGCCAATTACAGTAACTTTTGAATCAGCTGAACCAACCGTTACTAGCTATAAACTCTTCATCTTTAGCCACCTCTCCAGCATCCTCTTTCAATCTCTCAAAAACCAGCTTAGCTTGAGAGCACACCATGTTCTGATCAACAGGACAATTTTTCACATTTACTTGATTATAACACCATAATTTTAACATTGTTTCCATTTCAGCGATAATACCGTAAAGTTTATGAATAATGCTTGAATTTAAAGATTGAGTATTTTTCACAGCTTCAAAAATTTTTTCTTTACATTTTATAATTGTTCTGACTGTCGATTCCAGTAGATCAAACTTCTTTGCCAATTCACAAATTTTCATTTTTGTATCAAAGTCTAATAATGTTAACTTTACATTCCAAAGATTTTCTTTTCATGTTTGATGCAAAAGAATCAGTTCCACTTTGTTTGGATGACATAGTAGAGTCTCTCAAGTCTCCGTAGATATTACAAATACAGAAATAACACAAAATAAATTGTAGCTATGCATCCCAACATGTAAGCTGAACAATAGTGTGGGGGGAGTGAGTAATCAAGAGTTGCATGACACTCAAACAAAAGAGGAATTGATGAGATTTGAAAATCGCGTAACTCTGGGTTCGCATAAGTCGGGGTAGCGTAAGTCGAGGTATTACTGTACATAATATGTTTGAACACAAGCAACACTAAGATGCTAGCAGAACGAGTGCTAAACACAAACTGATGAAGCACGCGCACAATCCGAGACTTCCCCTCTTCTCATCACTCATTATGTGAAATGTCGCTTGTTAAGCAAGTCATTTTTTTACAATTTGTTTTGATCATTATGCAAAATACTCATTATGCAAGGTTCCACTGTAGCTCTAAAATTAACTTAATAAAACAAACAATTCACCATTAACAGTGAGTAACATTTTGCAGAAAAGAAATAAATTTTCAGAGATTAAAGAGTTAAAAGTTAACTGTTCCCTTTATTAACATATACTTATATCAAAAATATATAGATAAAACATTATAATATAATAATACTTTCCAAAGCCTTCTAATCATCTTTAATTCAGCTATTTTAACTTATAAAATTTTATTTTTCTAATAACCAATTATTTATTGTGACATTGTCACAATGCTGGGCTGCAATTTTTAATCATATTAGGGGTAGTCAAAGTGAGACAGATGGGAAAAAAGTAAGTAAACTGTTTATTATTTCAAAAGTAATTGACATAACTGTTAATACATTTATCCCACTGTGAAACAAGACGGTCAATGTCTTCATAGAAAAATATTTGCGGTTGCCTACAGAGCCATGATTGTACCCAGGAATGCACCTTTTCGTCCAAAGAAAATTGATGGTCACAAATGTCTTTCTTCAGGGCTCCAAAAATATGGAAATCACATGGGGAGAAATCAGGACTGTATGAAGAATGTGTACGGACTATGCTGCAAAAGTTCCCAGTGAAACTTCTGCAGCGTAGTCAAAATAATCTTGGTAACATGTAGGTGGACATTTCCTGCAACAGAATGATGCTGTCTGTCAACATTCCTGGGTGTTTGGATTTGATGGCACGCTTCAATTTTTGCAAAGTTTCTATGTACCACTGTGCGTTAATTCTGGCACCATGTTCCAGAAAGTCAACAAGCATCGGACCTCCATAGTGATGGTGGACGCACACACGACTCGCCGACCTCACTTCGAGCATGTCTAACAGACAAATGGCACAGCGGTAAACGTTCACGCTGTTCCTTCCTGATTCCCAATAGAGGGCACTTCTATATACACACCTACCCCATTACCAACTTCCATGCCACACTTGTTATATAGTCTGTCTCATTTTCATTTGACTGACCCTAATACATTACCAGTAAACAGTTTACTGGTTTACCAGTAATCAGGTAAAAAAAAATGTATCAGTAAAATTTGACAAAAAATACAGACATAATTTTTGAAGCCACCAAATATTTATCTGTTCATCTTTTCATGATTATTTATAATTTTTATACATTAAAAATAGAAGTGGCAAATGTATTTATTTAAACTGTAAAAATAGTTTACATCATTTACCTTACAAATTACTACTTTTAAAGATTTAAATTATCATATAACAGCACCAAGCAATTTATGTCTTAACTCATAATGTCCAAAGCACAGCAATGATTTTAGTTAACAAAATGGAATACATTTATTTGAACATGAGCATTTTCACTGGCTACATCTTATTCATAGCAACTAAAAAATTCTCTTAGCACGTTAACCGTCATCCGAAGTGCCAGCAGTCGTACTAATTAGGGCCGTACAGAGCCATCTGACCGCCCAATGTCGCTATAACCAATGTAATTTCACTCAAGTTTAAATTATCCTGGCTTTGTAAGACATCGTTTTACATCCTAGCGGTGGCCTCTCTTGCACATTTATAAAGTTGGCCCCGACCGCCGGTCGTCGTATGGCCTCACGAAGTGGTTCGACGGCCAGCGGTCATATGGCTCCGTACAGCCCTAATTAGTACGACCGCCAGCACATCGAATGGCAGTTAACGTGTAATATAAAGTAAAATATTGGAAACCTGAATTGTTAATACGATCAAAATATATAGAAATACATTATGTGTCATATAAATAATATATTTACGTTTTCATCATTCATAAAACTGAAATAATGACAAAATTCAAACAAACCTAAGAGTGCTTTATTGTTTTCCTTGGCAGATTCTACCTTTATTGTACAAGTATCGTCCATTTTCTTTAAAGTTCATTAATTTCCACCCTTCAATTTTGTAGCTGTAATATGAAACTTAAATGAATTATATGACATAACTATATATATTACAGATATAAATACTTAATTAAAAATATCTCCGCCAATAATTAAAGACATACGTTAAAACTATGTCTTTAATTATTGGCGGAGATGTATAAAAATCTAGCTTAAAGATATGTTATAACTGAATATTTAAAATATACGTTACATGAAAACAGTCCATAAATAAAACACAAATAACCCGCAAATATTACAGAACCCACATGCTCCAAAACATGTAAAGAAACTATGATGCCACCTAATCAAACGAAATTAAAATTATTATTATCGAACCTAATCTGGTCTATAATTTGATGATTAAAAGGTATTAATAAAAATATTTTGTGATAAAAATAAGTAAATATTATAAATTTAACCTTTATAAAAATAAAGTATAAATATTTATATTTTTTCAGCATGGTTTTATGTTTATTCTCTGTTAATTTGATCTCAATTTGGCAACGTAAATAAATCCCTTTTTGTATTACACATTTGGTGTTTTTATTTATTTATTATTCTTTCCTCCCTTGGTGTTTTTATTTATTTATTATTCTTTCCTCCCATGTGGGCACTAAAAGGGCCTCTTATAGCAGGCCCATTATGGGTTCGAGCCAAGCCCACAGTGAGGCGGCCGGGTGGTGAGGGACGTGGCCCGACATATCAGAACGGACCACCCTCCGAAAAATTCCTGGGGATTCCTTGACTCGTCCGGATTCGATCCCGGGTCCCCCAAAGCGGTAAGCTGCCACCTTGCCCAATCGGCCATCCGGCTGTCAAACGACGGAATATCGGAAATGGCCATTTTGTTTTTCGAGATAACTTTTTTTTCGTTTCCAAATGATTGGCTCCTTAAAATTCGCAATTGCTTTTCGCATTCGGTTTCGCTCAGTGTGAACTAAGCTTAACTGTGTACCAAATCTCACCTCTTTAGGTTCAGCGGTTTGCTCTGGACAATGATGAATCAATAAGTCGCTCAGTCAGTCGACACAAGTAATTTTATATATTAATATTTAGATTATTCTTATATTCACATAATAAAATTAATTTATTTTACGCTATGGCATTTATAGATCCCTAAAAAATCCCGCCCAGGGCGGCATTTTTTAGGGGGCGGCAAAATTTCACAATGAATAATAATAATATCTTGTAAGAATTTGAACCATTTTATTTCATATTTTCGTCCACCTACGACTCGGACTGATTGAAATGAGCACGGCAATAGTGTTACCATCTATCCGGATAGTACGCGAATCGACTCGCCGTTCGGGATATCGTGCGCAACCTGTTGACCTTATTTTTGTTTTTTGTTTTTTTCTTTGATTGTACGATTCATTTGTAATCATATACACCTCCAATATCCAACAGGGCTAGGTCACTTGCGTTACTCCTATCAAAGTCTGCCTAGTCGCTAACCGTAACTGATTTAGAACCGGCATGCACTACAAATTATTCTTTCGCATTGCAAAATAATATATGCATGAGTCAGGAACTTCTGTTCGAACAAACCTCACCTGCCGTCCGGGTAGGCGATTTTAAAAAAGTGGCAACACTAGCACGGAATTTTTCATTACTTATTCTGTGACGAAAGTGAATTTTAGTCTTTTAAATTGAGATACCTAAATAAGGGGGCGGTGAAATTTTCCTCCGCCCCGGGCGACTGACATCCACGCTACGCCACTGGCCACAAGTACATATAATATATACTTGTGGTCCAATATACAAGTATATTTAAGGATTAACATGTCTAGATTATAATAATAAGTATTAAAACTTTATCAAGAAAAAGGATATTTTAAAAATTACTTCTACAGACACTTTCAATTTTTACTTAGAAATAGATAAATTCATTTATTATAAAAGAGACAAACGGAAATTTTTTTGAAAAACACAAATATTTGTTATATTTGGGTCTCTAATTAATAAAAAGCAACGAAACACCATTTTAAAGTGCATTTTTATTCCACTAATATAAATAATATGTAGCCCAAAAAGTAGCCAATGCGCCAAATGATATTTTTTACGTCAAACAAAAAAAAGTAGCCACATTTGGCGCAATCGTTGCAACGTTGGAAAAAATACTAAATAAAGCTGGAGTTGTGAATCAAAGGATTATAGACCCAAGTGCAGGGAAAGAAGAGAAAGGACAAAAGATAAAAAAGTGAGAAAAGTTGGAAATTATTAAGGGTCAACAGATGTATTTAACATTTCTCGCTACTACATCTTTTGTTTTTTCTCATCTTTTCCTCCTTTTCTCAAATTGGGTCTATAATCTTTTGAGTCACAACTCCAGCTTTATTTAGTACTCCTTCCTCATTCACACATTTCCATGTATTTGAAAATATTTCTTTTCCACTCAAGAATAAAATACGAATAAAGGTTTACGACTTTGTGAAACTTCTTTTTTGAGTTTATGCCGTTGAAATAGATAAATAATAAAAAAATTAAAACATTTTGTCGGTTTTGTTTACACGTTTATTGGGCCGCATTGGAACTTGCCTTGGGCCGCGGGTTGGACACCCCTGGTTTAAATGAAAATATTGAAGCAATTTTATATTAATATGCGAGGAAATTGACAAATTGACGGTAATGCTAGCAATAGAGGGAGTGTAATTATTTGCATCGACGGTGAGGCGGTTAATGCCTCATTTTTCCGCTCTGGTAAACTCAGGATCGAATTCGGGCAGATAACTCCAGGAATTTTTCATGGGCGGTGAGTCCGGATATGTCGAGCCTCATCTCTCTCCATTCGGCCGGCAACGTGGATTTTGTCAAATTCGCGATAAATTTGGGATAAAGGGCAGTCTTAATACCCATAAAGCTATTCTCGCTATTTCTCTTTTCGCTCTGTGGGCACTAAGAGGGCCTATTTAATTAAGCAAACTCATTACGAATTCGGCCAGGCCAACAATGGGGCGGCCAGGTGGTGAGAGATGGGGCCGATCTGTCCGGTTGGACCGACTCACGAAAAATTCCTGGGGATTATTCGATCCGTTCGGATTCCCCAGAGCGATAAGCTTCCACCTTAACCGCTCGGCCATTCGGCCTTCAAATTCCCACAGGGCAGAAAAAGACAAACACAAAAAAAAAATCTACAAAATGAAGAGTAAAGAAACAAATAGTAAACTTGTTAGTTAATTAATCTATTTTATAAATTAGTTTTTGTAAACAATTATAATCTCAACTTGTAAAATTCATGCGTTGATGATCATTTGACGTATAATACGTATTTTACTCGAACTGTTGAATACTTGGCAACACTGAATGCGATTTTGAATAATAAAATTGAAACACTGCAATCAGATACAAATGGAGAAGTTTTAACTTAGCTATAAGAAACAATTTATTTTTCTGATAGAAAATTGCTAATAATTTCTTTAATTTTAGATCAGGTCGAAAGGGTTATAATTCTGTATTTGCATCCGTACAAGACATTATCGTACATTTAATAGGTGGCGTTTTTTAAGAAGATTGCAAATTGATGTATGTACAGTACATTACATTAGGGTAAAAGTAGAATTCACAACATAAGAATAATCGTTTTGTAAGTATAATTATGTAACGTATTTATTCATTTTTATACATTTATTAACTCGATACGTGTAAATGTAACGCCGTTTTCGTCGCGAGAATTATAATTCCATTCCAAATGCGAGTTTCATCGACATCGTATTTGGCTTTATGGCGAAATTTTATTAAACGTAAAAATATATTTAATAAATGGTTTAATGGAGAATAAACTATTTACGCTAAGAACTAGAAATAAAATACTCGGAAAAGAAAAATACAGAATCGTCAATATGAAATTTTATACCGTAATTGTATATTATCATTCGAATTTGATAAAATTTCAGTCTTTGTTTTAATTGTACAGCTGTTATATAAGAAGTTACATTTATTTTCGACGTGCAACGTTTTATAAGTTAAAAGTTGGTAAGTATCTTTTTCGAACTGTCGAAAAAGTTATTTACTATTTTTTTTTTAAATTTGCGTGCTTTTCTTTTTTCCTAACTTGACAATGTTTTTTGATTTTATATGAATGATGATTTTAAGGTACGGATGCGCTTCGAACGAGGCGGTCGAGACCTTGTCGGAGCCGTCGACTGCATTCGTACGGCGGGAGGTTGTCGATTCTCTCGAAGTTTTTGTCGTGCGATTGCTCTGCGAAATTCTTTGGTGATAAGTGTAAATTTTGTAATTGACTATGCAGACTTAATTATACGAGGTATCTTCTGCTTGCGTCGGTTCTTCGTTACGGATCTATTATACTTAAGCAATAAATGTTTTATGTATTTAATATTGTGTATTAGAAGTCTATTGCATTTTTATCTTGGTAGTCTATATCAACGGTGGGCAACCCCCGGCCCGCGGGCTAGCTACGGCCCGCGAAGAGTTTCCATCTGGCCCGCCAGATGTTTAGAAGAAATTATAAATAAATATTTTTCTATGTAATTCATCTAGTTTAAATTGAATATTATTTTCTGAAGTGTTGCGGCAGCAATGACAGGAAAAAATAAGGGAGTCATTTCCTTATTCAAACAAAAAATGGGAGAACAGAATTTTTCTAAATTATTTATATCTTATCGCATCATCCATCAAGTAAATCTATGTGCAAAAGCTATGCAATTAGAAAATGTAATATTTATTTATTTCATATTTGCAGACTAAAAATTTACAGGTCACAAGGTGTCAATTAACTACTATGGCCTGCGGAAAAAACGTAAAATTTATTCTGGCCCATGTTATAAAAAAGGTTGCCCACCCTTGGTCTATATAGCCGTAATTCGGTTAGGTTAGGTTAACTACATTTTTTAGTAGACAGAAGAAAGGAATACCTAAAAAGAAAAAAAGGAAACGTCTACTAAAAATGTAGTTAACCTAACCTAAGCTAACCAAAGTGCAGGCATTGGGACTACCGAGGTAAACTTCAACCCATTTTTAAAAACTTATAAGTAAACATTTACTTAGTTTTCAAATTTATAAAGCTACACACCCCTATTTTTGTTTTCTTTTTTAATTTTTAAAAATTTTATTATTGTATTGATAAAATAAAATTAACAAGACTGTTTGTTTATTCACTGGATGAATAAAGTTTTTGTATTGATAAACTCATCCAGTGGTCAAATATATTATAGTTGACCATTGGATAAATAACCTTTTTTGACTAATAAGTAGTAGTAAATTACACATATTTTTTGAAAATTTAGTCCAAAAAAAAAAATCATTGTGTATTAGAATTATTGATATTTAGCAGCTTACACTGAAAGTTTAATATTAAATACTTACGAGGGTCGTCACAGAAGTACCTGACCTGACATAGATGGCGGTACTTGTTTAAAAAAGAAAAGACTGTGTTCGAAAGTATCAACCTTATAAAGCTTAGGTTTGAAGTTTGAAGACGTTACGTTGTATAGTATTTTTTTGGCAGCCATAAATAGTGAACAATCTCAGTGAATTTGTAAACATGGAAAAAATTGGTCATCGTTATGTGATACAATACTTTCATTTGAAAGGTTTCAGTCCAACCAATATTAAGAATGAGCTAGATTCTACTCTGGGGGAGTCTGCTTTCTCGTTTACAACAATAAAATGTTGGGTGGCAGAGTTTAAATCAGGCCATACGAGCTGCCAAGACGAACATCATAGTGGTCAACCAAGTGAGGTGACCATGCCAGAAATGGTGGAAAAATCCACAAAATGGTATTGGATGACAGTCAACTCAAAGTGCGAGAGCTAGCAGACATGGTAGGCATTTCAAAAAGTGCTGTACAGTACATCGCATTTTAACTGAAATTTTGGTCATGAGAAAGCTGTGCACAAGATGGATGCCGCGTTTGCTCACAATGGGACAAAAATAGCATCGTGAGGATGTTTCAATCGAGTCTTTGGCAATGTTTCGCAGCAACAAAGCCGAGTTTTTGCATCAATTCATAACCATGGATGAAAGATGGGTCCATCACTTCACATATGAGACGAAAGAACAGTCGAAACAATAGACTGAAAGGGGAGAATCAGCTCCAAAAAAGGCGAAAACAGTTCCATCTGTTGGCAAGGTCATGGCATCAGTTTTTTGGGATGCGCCCAGGGAAAACAATTAACGGCAAGTATTATGCGAACTTATTGCAGTGCTTGAGTGATGAAATCAAGAAAAAACGGCCACATTTGGCGAAAAAGAAAGTGTTGTTTCATCAAGACAACGCACCAGTTCACATATCCGTTATTGCGATGGCCAAAATCAATGAGTTAAGGTTCAAATTGCTTCCTCACGCACCCTATTCGCCAGATTTAGCCCCTCGGATTATTTTCTCTTTTCAAACTTAAAATAATGGCTTGGTGATAAAAGATTTGCCAACAATGAAGAGGTGGAGTCTGCAGTTGATGGCTATTTTGAGAAGCTCGACAGTTCTCACTATAAACAGGGGATCGAAGCTATTGTACTGTACGTTGCTGGAAGAAGTGTATCGAGCTAAAAGGAGACTTATGTCGAAAAATAAAGATATGTTTTACCAAATTTTTTGTGTCTTTGTTAGGTCGGGTACTTCTGGGACTACCCTTGTATATCCGACAGTATTATTTATTTCTGGCATTTGTGACTAGTAGATGAGACAACCTTAACTAAACTGTTTTTATTAATCTGGCAAATGCAGTTTTGGGTGATTACCCATCTCCTCCAGTGCCAGGCAGTATTAATAATTACAAATAAAATATATAAATTATAACAAATATCTAATGACTTAAACAAAAATAACATTTGTTTGATTTAATATCATTCAAAAGAGTCTTCCTTTGTGCAAATTTGGTGGTTTTGGTCATCAGCTATTATAAAAGTTACAAATAAACTATAATTGCATAATCCAAGGGTTTCTTCCTGTGCACAAATTCTGTGCCTTCTATTACCAATTTTTACAAGGAAAGTGAAGTTTTTCCATTAATGCTATCTATTGTATAATTGGTTGCTGTGACATGTGCTTTGTCTGACTTAAATTCCGGTTTAATGATGTCATACCTATGCCAATCCTTTTGCATACCATATTACAACTAATGTTACTTTCATTTATTTCTACATGTTCTTTTAAATTTTCTTTTTATATCTGTTTTTTCCTACAAAAATTATTTTAATATTAATAAATGTAATATTCACAAATATTTTCTGTGTATTTGTAACATGGTGAATTCGTGTATTGTAGTTATACAGGGTGTCTCAGTTAAACGTTTCAAAACTTCTAAGAGGGGTAGGGTGCATCCCGATGACTTGGAATCATATAGCAACATGCGGTTGGAAGTGCTTTCCTTATGTGGTAGATGGCATTGTGTGAAAGTTCCAAGCATTCTTGCTGGGAATCGTCATTTGGCCAACAGTGGATCGGACGTGGTGGTCCCATGCGTTGGCCTGCTCGGTCATCAGACCTATCATGTCTTGATTTTTATTTCTGGGAGCATATGAAAACACTGGTTTATGACACCCCCGTTGACAATGCTGAGGAGCTGGTTTCAAGAATCGCAGTAGCTGCCGGAGAAATTTGAGATGAGCCTGGATTATTCCAGAATGTTCGGAATTCCATGTGCAGTAGATGTGAGGTCTGCATTGCAGTCAGTGGAAGAAACTTCAAACACTTTCTTTGATCCATGTTCCTTTTGTTTTTGTACATTTAGTATTAAAACGAATATTCCCTTACGGTCTTCTTTTTTATGATATTTCTGTGTACATCACTACTTCAGGAAAGCATTTCTAACCCTGCATTGCTACATGATTCTAAGTCATCTGGATGCACCCTACCCCTCTTAGAAGTTCTGAAACGTTTAACTGAGACACCCTCTATATATAACTACAATACAGTTGTTGAATTAAGAAATATATGAAGAAAGAATATATAATGAAATTTGCAAGTCTGGATAAAAAGAACATTACTGCCTGATGTTCTTTTTATCCAGACTTGCAACTGTTTTTATTTTTCCAATATGTATATATATCATTGGTTGGCATCTGCATGAAATCTTGTATGGAACAATGTACTGTACATCTGTTTCTTGGAAAATTACATAAAATACAGTTAAGTTGATTAGAAATGTTAGTTGCCAATCTAATACTAAATTTTTAATGTAAGGAAACCTATGTATTCATTATAATGTAAAATTTAAGAATCTAAATAACTGTTCATCATATAGTCCTCTTTCCACTTATCTATTTTTCCTATGTATCTATTGATTAAATATTTTCTTTTAACGTATGTTTCCAGTAACTGGTAAATTACAGTTTGTTTCCAATAATATAAGTACTGTATTTATAATAGCAGCTTACACTGAAAATTCAAAAATCAAAGTATTAAAACTTAACATCAAAATCTTGAATTCCATCCTCTAGTTTTATATATAGAGTTTGTTTAAGTAGATCTGTAATAGAGGACTGATGTGGGACAGAAGGTCCAGAATGCATTTCCTTATATAATAAAGTGTTCATAGTAAATTACTAGTGTGTTCCCTATATGGTTGGTTTTCTTCAGGAAAACTTATCTTCCTGATGAATTCTTTGGTCATAAGCACGAATAATGATTAAATAACTGAGATAGGCTGTTTTCTGGGGGCTATATCTGGCATTTTTAAAATTTGCCCCAATTTTAGAGGTATGGAGCAAAGTTTAAAAATGGAAAATAATTTGGAACTATTTCTCGAAACAATGCTAAAAAAAAAAATAAATTGTCTCCACTTTACTGGACATGTCTTGAAAGGTCATAAAATATGAGAAATGCCATTGTACTGACTAATTCTGGAATGTGATAAGTCACACTGCATGCTCTTATTTAAGCCTATTGTGTTTATCAGGCTTATAGCCATAAAATATCTTGCAAAAGATCACATGTAGACAAACCTGATTTTTTTGTTTTTGTTTTTTTACTCCTATGGGTAAGTGTACAGATTTAAGGTTCTAACTGCCTCATTCAGAACTGCATTTGTACACTTATCCTATGATCTATCATTTAAAATTAATGTTATATTACATTGCAATAGAAGTAATGTCTATTGACATTACTTCGAATACATTGAATAATCCATAAAATAGTTTTCTTTTTTTCCTTGAAACATTATATAAACCAATCAACTCCCATCACTTTTTCTGATATTAAGCAAAAATGATTGGATTTTACATTAACAGAGCTTTGTGGTGATTTTTTCCATTCTAATCCTTTAAAGAATTGAGATGCAGTAAATTTAAAACTTACTGAAAAGCAAGTAAATTTAATAAAACTGAGAAAAAACATTTTAATATTCTAAAATTCCAACAATACTTACTGTTTCTAACTCCTTTTGGTTGGAAAAGAAAAGGAACAGTAAGACTGTTGATCAAAATCGTTAACTTGTGAAAAGATTTGATAATATTATACTGCTACAATTAAAGCTATTTTTGTTATCCAACTTCATTTTCAAAAGTTGCCTAATGAAAAAATAAAGAAATTATCTTATAATAAAGAAAATAAGTTAGTAAAAAAATTTTATTTTGAAAAGAGAAGAGAATAGATATAAGAAAAGAGATATAACAGAAGAGAATGTTGGAGATGCAGTTTATTTTAAGAATTTTGAACTGAAATGTAGATGGAGCATTTCTAATAACTTTTAAATTCAACTAAGTTATTCAGTTCTGCATTTTCTATTTATTAATGTAAGGTATAATAGATAATAGTCTGCTAAATAAAATTAATCATTTTTTAGCCACAAGGTAAGATTATCAACCATATGTTGAAAGTATCCTAAATAAGTGTTGTATACTGCTGCTTTAATGTTTAGTTTATTTTTGGCTAGAAATTTAGAAATAATTCCTATGTAAATCCATTTTAAAATTTTTTCATTAATTTTGAATGTAAGTTGGTACATTGAAATTTTTTTCTTTTTATTTTGTGTACACATCATTGCTCTAAAAGGATAAATGTATATACAGTATGTAAAGAACCTAGAATGGTGACTCTAAAGGCATAAAATCTTCCATCTATATATATATATTTTTTTTTTTTTTTTTCTTTTTCTCTCATGTTATATGTATATATCTGTACATACCACTTTTTCTCCTCCATTCACTTTATTATATTAGTACCATAAAATCTTTAATATTTAAAATAACAATAATAACCAAACCAACTGAATCAAAAATAATTTAGCATATACCTGTTTTCAATGACAATTTTGCTACAATAACCGACTGGATGTGTGTTTAATATAATGTCCTTGTACAATAAATTGGTGTAATTTTTTTATTACTTTCTGACATTTCAAAAATCCCACAGCATGTTGGAACTGATTTTATAATTGCGTATTACTTAACGACATACTGTTTTGTTGTCTAATACATTGGTTGCTGTAAAAAAATGCTATGCAGTGCTAAAAAGCAACTTTCAACTGGCTGATCAAAATGTGAATGAAGAGAGTTGAAAAGTAACTTTTCAGCTTCGTTTTGGTCAACTTAAACCAAAAGTTTGCTGCTTTCAGTTTGTCTTCACTTCAGATAGTTTTTGAGGAAAAGGTGACTTAAGCAATGACTCAAGTGGAAAAAAAATTATCTGAAGAATGTAAAGCATTAGAGTTAAATGGACTTTAGAAAAGTTAAGTTCTGATTTTTCAAATCTCTAAGCAAATCGGAGCTTTTTAGTTGTCTTAAAAGAAATCTTTAACATTACATTGATAAAAATAATAAATTTCAAATATTTCAAATGCTTTTAATATCATTCCAAACATAGTCAGTCCCAGAAGTACTCAAAGGAGGATTAACTCAAAAATTAAAAATATTTGAATAACTAGTAAGCAAACCTACCTTTTTGTATTAATATGCACCTGACAATTATATTGTGGATGGCTCAATTAACTGTATTTGCCATCATAAATGTTTTTTAAAAAACAATTTTTTTTTGAAGTTTAAACAAATAATTTTTTTGTCAGTAGTATCTCTCTTGTAGCCACTAACGTGTACAGATAGTCCCTCTTCAGTACAGTACCTAATGATTTAATTTATGATAAGAAAAGCAGACTACAGTCTGAATGTTTGTTTTCAAATTCTTGTTTTCTTAAAAAATATATATAAAAAAACTGCAGTAGATGAGAATGAGAATTATTGTTTAATTTATTGTAGTTGAGATAAAAGTGCCTAAAAAGCTACTTTAAAACTCTCATTCAAAATTAAGTAAATTCTCTTTACTTTTTTTTCTCCTTGTGTTATTTAATTTAATATGAAAGAGCCATTTCTTCTCGGGAGTTAATGCACGTAGATGTAGTGTGCGCCTTATATATTTCCATCACTTCTAGCCATTGAGGTGTTCCATGTGTTAATTTAATATGTTGTATAATGTAATTATTTAACTTATGAACTTTATTAAATATATTTAATATTAAAACTATTTGGGTTATTCAAATATTCAAGATCTGGTTAATATTTGAATTAGACAAATATCACTTTTCAATCTCTATTTGATGAGTTTTGTTTCAGATTCAATAAGATTTTTCTTTCCAAAAAATAAAACTAAACATGTTTTACAGATTGATTTTGATTTATTGAAACAAGAAAAATTGACATGGCTACAGAAGAAAGTAAAACCAGCCAAGATAATTCCAAAGTTGCTACACATTCTCCACAATCGGGTCAAGCAAATAGTACTTCGGCTACTTCTAATAATGCTAACAAAATAGGGGATTCAAGTTCATCAAAACTGGTAAATATTTTATCATCCTACATTTTATGAATCATCATAGCATATAGTTGAGTAGAAAAGCTTATCTGAAAAGAGGTGTAGAATAATTCAGCATTAAACTATCAAATAATGTTATATGAAATTTATTTTTGATAGTTTTAAAGTATTACCTAATGCCTTTTTTTATTGTTATTCTTTAGTCACCATTAGTCAAATAGTCATGTATTTAAAGTTTTTATTTTTTTTATATATATATATTGATATATATATATACACTGTACTTTCCGGGTATAAGACAACCTCTGACTTTTGAGATGATTTTCCTGGGTTAAAAAGTTGTCATATATGCCAGAAAATACAGTATTACATTTTCAAAAAATATATTGTTTGTAAAATGTTAATTTTAAAAACTGCAGATACAGTAGAGCGCCATTTATCCGAAAGCATTCCAATCGGCAAATTTAAATTTTTGCTAGTGCTGTTGCGCTGCAATCTTTGGCTATATCTTGGGCTACTCCAATATTTTTTTGTTGGTGTACGTGTTTTAGCTGGCAGCACTGGCACTTTTGTGTGGTGTTTTTTCTGAGGACTGTGTCGTGCTGAATCGAACATTTTTGATATTAGATCAACTTCTAAAGTATCTTTTTTTTTGTTTTTTATATTTTTCAATATATTTATTTTATTTGTACAAAATAAAAAAAATAATTTTTAACGATACAATACCCACGATTATTATTTTAAAAAGTTTTCGTTAGGCTTAACATTGATGAAAATTCAACGCGAAGCGACACACAATGGAGAAAAATTTCAACATGGGATAGGTTAATATATGTTTTCGTACGTAATCGGTTATCCAAAAAATATAAGTTATCCGAACAACCCCAGTCCCCAATTGATTCGGATAAACGATGCTCTACTGTATATACTGTTTTGTTAAACTTTACATCTGTTCAGCTCTTAAAATAAATGATTTCAAAAACAGTGTTTTAAGTGTTCTAAAAAACTTGTAGCCTAAAGGTGATAAAACTAACTTCAAATAAATCAACTAATCAATTTGATGTAATTGATAATTGACATGTGCAAACACAAACAAACCCTTTTGTTCAATAGTTTAAGAACATTCAGAGAAAAGGTAAGTTGCGTAATCACCAAAGAAGGAAAAGCCGTCGACTCAATTGCGTAAACTTATTGCATTGCTATTGTTTATTACTTATGTCATCATTTTACATCAGTTTGCTTGTTAATACTACATTATTTTCAAAATATTCATAAAGCAAAAATAAATTAGATCATCAAAAAATTAAACTTACATAGTTGTCAAAAACTTCAAGTAAATATATGAATTAGCTTATTCTATTACTAATTTTTTAAAAAATTTTGTTTTTGTTTCAAAAAATATTAAAATTAGAAACTTAACACAAACTTCTATCCAAATTTATTACATTAAGAAATTATCTTAGTTTATAAAATTATTTTTCTTTAGAAACCAAACTATGTTTTAAAGTTTACTCTTGCTGGACATACCAAAGCAGTTTCATCAGTGAAGTTTAGTCCCAATGGTGAATGGTTGACAAGTTCTTGTAAGTTATTTTATTCATATTTGGATTATAATGAGAATTATATTTAATATAGATATAAATGTTTTTACTTGCAATGTTAAGTTATTTCTAAGATCAAAAATGAGAGTGGTGGTAAAATTCATTAAATAAAAGATTTTGAAAGGCTGCTATTAAAAATTTAATTACTGTATGCTGGGGTTACTTTATGACTTCAGGGAATCTTTGACATTTCACTAGAATGACTGATTTATTTTGAATATAGGTTTACATCCATTTTAAAATTCATTTATGGGTTAGATACCAATATCCTGTACAGTGATGTTATCTGATGCTAAAGCAGGAGGTATAGAACATATATCCACTATTTGTGTTCCTTCTGAGAGTCAAGAAATTGAGTGGTATATGAAATGTGTTATACTTACTTTGTATTATTTTACAACCAAAAAGTAGGAATAGTTGTGTTAAGTGTTGTTCTTGCTTATAATCTATAAATACAATTAATAAAAATTAATTGGTATAAGCTATAGAAGTAAACATCAGAGATTGAAGGATTACTTTGTGACAGTGTATAAAGAATCTGATGAAAATATAGGGAGTGAAATTGTAGAATTATGAGATGCAGAAAATAAAATATCCTGTACAATAAATTTAACGTATAAGACAAAATTTTATTATAAAAATGTAATTTTAATTTTTCAAGAAAGGTATTACTCTGGAATTAGAGCAGAAATGAAAAAATATGGTGCACACAAGTGCAATGAAGTCCATTGAAAAAATATTGGTTTGAAAATTAAGATAGCCATTTCTTTTTTTATTTTATTGCTCTGTTCCTTAAAATCAATTTTCTACATTTCTATATCATGTCAACAAGTTTGTTTTATATTTCTGGTAATAATAATAAAAAATAAGATTGTTTATTGAAAGATTAAAAATTGTTTGTGATAAGTACAGTAGACTCCCCTATAACGCCTAGATACGTTCCACGCTAACCGAAAATTACGTTGTAGGAATGATTAAATACATGAGCCAATCGCAGCCCGATAGGTGGGAACTTTATGGACTAAGGCTGTTTGAAAGGTTTTCTTCTATAAAATTAACCGATTCTAGACTAATTCCACTCAACATTTCCAAAACACGTATAATTTTTTGGGAATAATCCGTATAAACTACGCTATAAACAAAAAATTATAGGATTACTTACCGAGTGTGTACCGTTCGACTACGCCGTTGCTTAAAGCTGGTTTTCATCGCGGAACAGCACATGAAACGACGGCCGCAATTTCTGATAACGAATTTTTGGCAGAAAAATAACTTGACCTTTGGAGACATCATTAATATAAATAATTTTTATGGCCGTTGAATAAGAAGTGTTTCTTTCACAAGAAATGTATAAAATTAGTGCTGTATTAGACTTACGGTACCTAATTTACATACTGTACAGACGATAATAAACTCAACTTACTAGCCTAAAATCTCCGTAGCGTGTTGCCAGGCGGCAGAAAGCATATATATAATTATAATAAAGTTACAATAAATTAAGTTAATATATAATTATATATACAGTACCTAATTTATATATAATTAATATATAATTATATGTACAGTACCTAATTTATATATAATTTATATATAATACTAAACAGACGATAGCAAACTCAATTTAGCCGCTCCGTAGCGTGGCGCAGGGTCGGAGGAAAGTAGTTCGGCTGCTCATTCACTATTGGTCCAGACTCTATCAATCTTCTCGCGAAACGACGTTATAGGAGGTACGTTATACGAAAGTTGCTACAATTTTTTCGCTACGTTATAGGAATTTCCGTTATAGGAACGTACGTTATAGGGGGGTCGACTGTATATCTAATGAATAATTTTCTCCCCTATGCAATAAGCAGGTTATCAAAGTTATCCCAAGTGATTGGCTAAAATTGTGATAAATATTTTTCACAATATTGTTTGAAACAATACACAAACAGTTCTTAATTGTTTAATTTAAAATCTGTGCAACAGCTTCACCATACTAATCTTGTATTGATGCAGTTTCAGTACTTGTATAGAAGTGCACAAGTAGCTTTATGTAAATAATCTGCTCTGGCTAGTAAGTCTTTCTTGAGAAACATTTTCAGGTTGTTCAACATTATTGTTTGCACATCTTACTTTCTCTTCCATTGTGTATTTGGATGCTACTTCTCTTGCAATCTGCAAGATTCCCACTTGCGTTGAACTTGTAAAGGCATTTGATAGTTGATGTGTTTGGTGCTGCATTATCACTATCTGTAAATTTCTGATAGTGGTGGTGTAGTATTTAACAATGAAGATACACTGAGACTGAACACCATTGTGTCTTCACTTGATTTAGTTCCATATTAGCATGCAGCATTTTACCTTTCTTACAGTCACTGATGTCACCAGCTATGCACATGACAAATCTATTGATACTATCTGCACATCTTGGTGCCAGGAAAATTAAACTCTATTCCATATTTCATGAATTTCAAAATGTATCACTGTATGAGTTGGTAAATTTTCAATCACTCTGTATTACCCTACAACCTATAACTGGTATTTTGCATGTTTTTTATTAACTAGACATTTGTGTATGTAGTCGGAGGTCTGGTTTTGTAGAGACCAATTACAGTAATTAGAAGTGTACTTCAGTAACTATTTTGTACACACATTGGTCAACGTGTTTCGAAAAATTATTTTATTCTCATTTAATATATTTGACTTTACAAATATATCCTATTTAAGCTACTGGAGGGGAAAAATTTTTTAAATTTCATCATTTACTGTTGCTAATGCAAGATAAAGATGTGAGAATTAATATAGCTTTTTTTTTTTTTTTAATTTGTGTTTAAATTATTGTTTTTGTTGTAATGTTCTTGTGTAAAATTTGATGCTCAATTTCATTGATGAATTAGTAAGAATAGAAATGGCTACAATAACTTCAAATTTTTTAAAATTGAATTGTACATATTCTGATAATGAATTAATTTTTTTAATTAACAAAGATATGTAGGGTTTTTTTTATTATTGTAATAACTTTGAAACTTTTCTTCCAGAATATTCTAAATCAATTTGTTAAGTCATCATCTTGTATATGAATATTAACTACCTTTAGGCTAAATTATGTATTTTGATAAAGTTTAGCCAAATTATAAACTAAAGAATCTAGTAGTTGTTATATAATTTATATACAATGATATACTTTATAATTATATATAATTAAACTGTTTTAGCAGCATCATTACATTTGATTGTGTAATTGCAAAAATGATATATTAAAATTCTTGTTGCTTTTAAAAAGTAAATTAAGAATTAAATTTTTGTTTTTTTCTTTAATGGTGTGAAAATATTTTTTCAAATAATTTTTGATATCTGAAAAAGCAGTGGTAGACTATATATTTATTTTCAAGTATTTCTAATGAAATCATTTTTAAAATAACTTCTTTTTTGTTTAGCATAGTTTATTATTTGGTTAAATATTTTCTTTAAAATTTTTCATTTTAATGTATTGTAATATATTTAATATTTCTTTGTAATAATATAAATATATTTGTTTTTTATTAAGGCAAATAGAGAAAGGTGTCTGAAATCTATAATGGAGATTTAAAACTACAAAATTTAAATTCTTTGAATTGAAAAATTACACAATATAATTATAAAATTAACTTTCATTTTATTTGATCCATTAAGTCTCAAATTTCAAAATCAAAAATAGAGAGATATATTGATCTCAGATAACCTTGCTATGTAAAGTATGGTGCATAAATTAAATATTTATGGAAGATTTTATTATATATTTTAAATGATTCGACTTGATGTCAATATTCATTTCTATACGTAGAAGTAGGAACGAATGATTTAATAATTGAACTCTCTAATTTAATCAAACTTTAAAATATTTTATTAATAAAATACTGTTTTTATATTATGTTAGCTATTATATTTTTATAAAACTTAGTTTAACAAGAAATGTTATGAAATTACAGTGGTACCTCAGGATACGAAATTAATCTGTTCCGAAACTGAGATCGTATCATGAAAATGTCGTAAGGTGGATCATCTTTTCCCATACGATTACATGTAAAACCAAATAATTCGTTCCAACGTGAAAAACATACTCAAATTAAAGCCAAGTAATACATTTAAAAAAATAACTGTAGTAAGAAAAACAAATGAAAAATGCAAACTAATGTAACGTCGTATGGTGAGTTTTTGTTCGTATCGTGGAGCAAAAATATGTTCGAATTTCATGTCGTATCCGGAAAATTTCGTATGCTGGGGCGTTCGTAACCTGAGGTACCACTGTATTCATATAGATTTTATTATTATTATTATTATTTATTTATTATTATACATTAATAAGTAAACTTAAAATACATTTGTTTATGTAATAAGTGAATCCAATGATGATAAATGCAATAATTTTCTGAAATAGTTTTTGTATTTTAGTTCAGCAAATAATTTATAGAGTGCTGTAAAATTGTTTTTAATGCATTTTTTTTTATTAATTGTTAAATTTGATGATAGCAAAATCATTTAGAGAAACTTTTTAATAATTTAATATGGCATAATTATTTTTCAAATCTGTACTAAAGTCTGATCTTAATAAAATACAAAAAACAAAAATTATGTTTAGTATTATTTTAATTTTATATTACTGTGGTAATGATGTTCTAAGCATATTTTGAAGATGGACAAAGTTTAGAATTACTTGAATTTGAATTGTTTCTAAGTTTAATGCTCCAGTGAAGCAATTTTTTTTTCTATTTTACTTTCTTGTTATGTTGTCTTTAGAATACAAGTTGTAACTTACATTTTAACTGATTTTTTAAAATTTTATAAATTAAAGTTTTGGGATGATTGAAGAAACAAGGTTAACCTAAGTCATGAATTATGTTAAACTCTATGCCACGACTTTTATCTTAGGCAAATTGACTGTTAGGCAATATTCATCATATTAAAAGCCATGGTTTAGATCTGAGCAGAGGCAGATTTAAACCATGACTTATCTTAGACTT